GACTTCTAAATAAGTTTGGGCACATCCCTAGAAGAACTGCTGCTCAAAACATTTGTAAGCTTTTAAAGTTTTTATCATATACTAGTTAATTATACCTATTAACTGATCATCAATTATGTATTTTGTGTCTTTGTCAGTTTCATAGGTGAGAAGTTGGTATCTCTACTTATTTAATCCACATTTCTTAATTTACTAAGAAGTTTGAACATTATTTCTTAATAATTACTGCCTATTCATGTGCTTTTTATGCACATTTTTAAGCTTACAATCTTATGATACTACATATTTATTTATTTACTTATTTAAGTACTGGAGATAGAGCCCAGGGACTCACACATGCTGCAAATGCTTTACACTGAGCTATATCCCAACACTTTTTATTTTTTATTTTGGGACAAGGTCTCACTAAGTTGTGCCCTGTTCTGGAACTTAAAATCACCCAGCTCTTATGACACTTTAATAATTTAACATTTTCTGATTATGGAAATAATCCAAACTCAGGAAACTATGAGAAATATGAAAAGATACAGAAAGAGAATCAATCAAGGCTGGGGCTACAGGACAATATAACTTGAAAAAACTCCTTCAGTTATTCAATTCCAGAACCACAAAAAGTCTTTTTAAAAAATACAAACAGGCTGTGGATATAGCTCAATTGGTAAAGTGCTTGCCTCGTATGCATAAGGCCCTGAATTCAATTCCAAGCAACACACACACACACACCCATGACAAACAGAAGCCAGGCATGGTATCCCATGTCTGTAATCCCAGTGACTTGGGAGACTGCAGCAGGAGGATCTTAAATTCAAAGCCAGCCTCAATAAGGTAGTGAGGCCCTAAGCAACTTAATGAGACTCTGTCTCAAAATAAAAATAAGAAGGGCTGGGAATATGTCTCAGTTTTTAAGCATCTCTGGGTTCACTTCCTAGTTACCTGCCCCAATTAAAAAACAAAAACAAAGTTATACAGAATCATTTAAATACCTGTGGGTTACTCCCTCCATTCCAGACATAACCCTTGGTGAGTTTTCCAACTCCATCATCCCAATCCCAATCACTGTCATCATCATAGTCCTCCTCTTCTTCCTCTTCAACTTTTATCTCACTTTCACTCTTCTTAGCCACATTGTTTTGAAAGTCTTCAAACAGAATGCCATCTTCCGCTTTGATTATCTTCAAATTTACATTTTCACTAGAAATAACAATGTTTTAGCATGTTTACAAATCCTCTACCTGGATTCACATATGTATTTATTTATAACAGACTAAATAATGCTGATAAATCTGAAACATTCCTCACAACATATCTCCAATAAGTTCCATCTTCCCCAAACTGACTTCTCCTGTGTCTCAGTTCTTTGCAATTGCTTATTCTCCACACCCAAGTCCCACTAGGGAAGGAGTATAGCATGTGATAAACCTGCTCCTGCCTTGGTGAGATTAGAATTTACATTACCTTCTCTTTTAAAATAACTTACTCTGATCAGTGCACCAGACCTGACTATAAAATCATTCATGGAGCTGCTCCAAGATTAGAAAAAAAATCTTTCTAGCAAAATTTGGGAATAAGTCTAAAGCAGTCTTACTTTGAACTCAATACCACTTTGCAACACAAGGAGCTATATTAAAGACTAGTGAGACACAAAGAACTTCAAATCACTCTTGTTTATGAAGGGAAAGAATGGGGACTATGTGTGAGTCAAGTTGGCTGAATATAAGACAATAGAAGTAGGGACTGTCAAAAGAGAGAGTCTAGGGGTAAAAGCAGCACAACTAATAGGGTCATCTTTAGCCATGTGAGAATTCAGAACCTGTGTTATTAGATTGTTTTGGTTTTTCAAGAGAAGCCAGAAATATAGATTCTGTAAATCTTTCATGTCACATTCAATTTTACAATGCATACCAAACAAAACATGTCTATAGGCCTGAAATTCAATACAGGTATTGCCAGTTTTGACCTTTCATGTAGAGAATAAGGACAGAAATCATATGGACAAACTAGTAATATGCACTATTTAAAAATAGTCACACATGAATTTAAGTAAATTCAGATACCAATTCCAATTTATTAAGTAGCTATGGCTCTGACAGCTCCAAATCCCCATGGGCTTGGGTAGGAACAGAATCCTTCAACACCTATAATTTAGTAGAACTTCATAAATATGATCTACTAATCTATAAATTAATCCTTCAGTTACCAATAACCTAAAGAGGCATGTCAAAGTTAAACTTTGCTCCAGGGCTTCTCAACCTCAGTCAGTAATTCTTTGCCATGACAGACTGTCTTGTACATGGCGGGGTATTTAGCAGCATCAATGTCCTCTACTTACCACTTGCCATTAATGCATACCCCCACCCCCACCCATCCTTGACAGACAAAAATTTCTCTAGAGATTGCGAAAAGTCCCCTGGGAGTAGCAAAATCATCCCCAGTAAAAGAACCCCTGGTTTTATCCTCACAATACCCCATGTGGGTGGTAATTTTTATTTTTTTTTTTTAATGGTACTGGGGATTGAACCCAAAGCTGCTCAACCACTGAGCTACATTCTCAGCTTTATTAATTCTGATAATGAGGACTGAAGCCAAGGACACTTTACCACTGACCTACATCCCCAGGGTTTTTTTGTTTGTTTGTTTTTTTGAGGCAGAGTCTCACTAAATTGCTGAGGGACTCACTAATCTGCTGAGTCTGGCCTTGAACTTGCCATTATCCTGCCTCCATCTCCCAAATTGCTAAAATTACAGGCACATACAGAAGCACACAACTGCCCTTTTTATTTTCTGAGACAGAATCTTGCTGAGTTGCTGAGGATGGCCTTGAACTTGTGATCCTCCTGCCTCAGTTTCCTGAGTAGCTGGGATTATAAGCATGCACTATCGCCTGGTTTGGTCAGTAAACTAGTGCATTCTCATTACTATCATCTATTCACCAGCAAGCTGCTTTGCTTCTTCTTCCCACTTAAATTCTTCCAAAAGGTCTTCTGTATGTTGATCTGTAATCATAAGACTGAAAAGCCCTTTTCATTTTTTTAATTCATCCTTCCCATATCAGCTTGCTATCTATCACTTGCCCAAAGAAGTCTTCCTTATCGTTCACCCATTTTTCCTCCATACTAGTAAATCAATTCTAATATAAATAATTTGTCTAATTATTTAATACCAGTTTTCCTTGCCAGAATACAAGGTCTACATCAATTAGGATAGTGTTTACCAACACATCCCTGCTGAGGGCCACTGCCAAGTAGGAATGACGCATCGAAATTTCCTTGCCAGTATACCCCATGTTGCTTAGAGGAAGGACTCGTGGAAATGGACTTGCCTTGGACATTCGCTGTGTTGCATGTATGTTTGAGAAAGGTGACCCTGCTCAAGGACCAGGGTGGATCCAGGTTTAGGGAAGATCCTACTGGATTAGGGCAGATCCAGGTTTAGGGTGTACCCTGCAGGTTTTAGGGAGTATCCCGCTCCTTGGGTTTAGGGCATTCCCAGTTTAGAACAATCCGGGTTTAAGGCGGTTCTAGGTTTAAGGTTATTCCTGCTGGGAATAGGACCTATCCTGCAGCCTGAGTTCCGTTGAGTTCTCCTGGAATTCAGAAAGTATTTGGGATTCAAAGCCTGGTAGAGTACGTGAATTTTGCGGGCAGAACCTGAATTTCCCCAGAACGTGTTTGTAGAGGGCCAGTGTGAGTTCGGGAATAAAGAATTGCAGTTTGAATCTACAAAGCTGTGAGTGGCTCTTGATCTTGTGCCCAGCCAGTCTGCGGCACATCCCTATCACTCAACATAACACTAGATCTTACACACAGAAAATAGTATAAGTTTATTTATTGAAAAATGCCTCAGTTGGGCTGGGATCGTGGCTCAGTGGCAGATCACTTGCCTCGAAAATTCAATCCTAGCACCACATGAAAATATGTTGTGTCCATCTACAACTAAAAAAAAATTTTTTTAAAGTCCCAATTAATAATTAAAACCTACATTGTAACAAATCCTTATCATAAAAAAAGGAATCCTTTTCTTGAATTTCAAAATAACAGTTTCATTTTCCTTCTGAGTAGGAGTGATTCTTCACTGCTCCTTCCCTAAAACCCACATCCAATTTATCAATAAACCTGTCATTTCTATCTCCAAATCATATCTCTAAAACTCTAGCTCTAGTGCCCATCTTATTTGAACCTGATTTTTCAAACTGGTCTCTGTTCCATTCTTATTCCCCATGACTACATTCTACACAGCAAAATGACTTCCTTCAAATCATAAATCAAATTACATCATTCCCCTGCAAAAATCCCTCCTCTGGCCTTCTAAAGAGTTTCAAAGATATCTTAACTCCTTGTCATAACTTGTAAGACTCTACATGATCTGGTCCCTTCCCGTTTCTCTTTCTCAACCACTTCCACTGCCTTTCACAACCAAGAGGGTTTCCACCCGTGAGAACTATGCACTTGTTCTCTCTGCCTGGAATGATATCCCCTTGTCATTTAAATGTGGACTGTAATCGTTCTCTGACCATTAATTAGCGTATTAACCTATTTCAATAACTTGTATGATACATATCATCATCTTATTGTTTACAAATGGTCTGTTCTCCTCTCCACGTCAAGTTCCATCACAGTGGACCTGGGTTTGTCTTGTTCATGACAATTTCCAGCCAAGGATAAAAACCTGGCCCACAGGAAGTGCTCAATAAATACCTGAGGATGTAGTTACAGTACAAACACCTACGTCTGCCAGTTGCTATCCCCATTCTGTTTTTCGGCTATGCTGACCGTCCAGGGAACCAGTCTTTGACAAATGCCTCATTGAACTCTGCCCTAAAGTAGGAAGACTCGGAGGGATGCAGACGAAGCCGGCTGAAACACCCTATGAACTACAAGCAAGGAGAGAGCAGAATCTGAACAGAGTGGGAGTATTCTACGGCCGCTCACCTGTCGGAGGAATCGGCGTCGTCGAACTGCCCGGGGACCACCCGGCTCATCAGGAGCCGCCGGTAGTCCATGATGGAGGCACCGAGCCCTCGACACCCGCGGAGGCCTTCCGCTCTGCGCCGGGGCGGAAACGGCACAGAAACGGTTTTACCTGCGGCGAATCCAACGGCCTCTCCGCGAACCCCGCCTCGCAAACGGTTCAGAAGCCCTCGCACACACTCGGCTCCGACCACGAGGACCCAGAGCTCTGGCACCCTGGGCCAGAAGCCGAACGGGAAACCCCGCCCCCGGCGGAAGTCCGATCTCACAGGAAGTCCCGCCCCTGTGCCGTACGGAGATCCGGGAGCTCGCTAGGGACGGTGCGCTAGAGGGACAAACTGCATGGTCGGGGGAGGAGGTTGATTCCGCTTTGCGGCTTTCAGCCTGGGGCTTTTCGTTTCTTCCCGCTACTTTGTGGTTATTCTCGTAGAAGGACGCTCCAGTTAGCTCACAGGCTGTTTCCGTGGGAGTCCACGCTCATTCTGGAACTGAGTGGGGCCTACCCCGCGCCGAAGGCGTCGAGCGCGCCGGTGCCCTTCCCCTCCGAGAGTGGCTGGCGCGGGCGGACGTCACACTGGGACGTTCCAGCGCGCCGGGAGCCCGCTGCCTGTTTGCAGAAGCCCTCGGTGGGAAAAGGTGGACGGGGGTTCTTCCTCCCTCAGGGCCAGTGTGGGGTAGGAAGATCGCAGTTCTTAGCGTGGGTTGCAGAAGTTCTCTGGATCATGGAATTGAGCACACTTAGGTGTCTCACAAAGTTTGGTGCATGGTTTTGAGGTGAAAATGAAATACGTGCTTTTAAAAGTTGAGGTTTGTCACACTACTGAAAAATATTAAAAAGAGTTTTATAATAAGAGTTTCTTGACATCTCATCTACTTTTAAACTGCTTTAGCGTGTCTGCGAAATAGCTCTCCAAACAGTTGAGTAAGTATTTTAAAAATCTAATATAACTATGCTCAGGACAGATGTGGAAGATGGAAAAAGTAGGCCTGACTTTAAAAAAAATAAACTGGCAGATTGTGCAGCGACCTAGGGGGCATGAACAAAGTTATGTATTTGAAAGTTACCGACTCACCAAGAAAAGAAAAGAGGCCTTTATGGGTTTGGGAATTTGGAAAACAGCAAGATAGGTTTTTCAGATCCCCCTCACCACAGCGCAGGCGGTATCTATTTGTTTGGAAGACTCAGAAGAAGGGAGGATAAAGTTGGACCTTTCACAAGTCCTATGTGACCTTCCTGGCTTACTGTTTTTATATTTTACTAAGTGATAGCATAAGTTTGAACAGAATTTTCATTAAATTGATCATTAATTCACCAATTCATCAAAATAATTCATCCAGGCAAATAAGTAGTGACTGCATATTGAGAGGATTTAGTAGAAATAAGTCACTAGAATGCAGGATTTATTCCATCAATATTTACTGTGCAGAAAACAGTGGTCTGCCTATAGTAGGTTGTACATAAAGGCATAAGTTGACTTCCCAAAAGGCAATTGTAATCTATAAATAAAAAACACGAACACCCTTGGAACAATGGTGAAGACTAAGGCAGTAGGATGAATTGTGAGAGAGTTGCAGACTTAAAACATAGTAAAGATTTTTAAAAACATGAAGGTTTTAAGAGAAGTGAATGCCAGGGCCAGTTGCCAAAGTGGTAGAAAGCATTATCTATTTGCAGGAAAATGAGCCTGATGTGACTAGATTTGGAGGGAATATTGGGAAGGTGATGTCAGTACAGGCTGTGAAAAGCCATGAAAGTCAAGTAGAAGAGTCAGGACTCAGTGATTTAATATCTTTCCTCCTCCCATCTTCTGGCAGATGAGTATGTCAGGATATGGATCAGAGTGATGGCATAGGGGATGGAATGAAAACATGGGTGATGGAAAAACAGTTTTAAAGCAAAAACAGACAGGACTTGGTAACAGTTCAGCTGTGGATAATGAGGTGGATGCCAAGATGTCTCCAAATCTTCAATCACAGATGCCTGAGAGAATCCATGTGACATAGGGAAGTGAGGAGGACTTAGTGTTGGTCTTTAAAGTAACAGAGATCCCTTCACTTTCTAGGTCATAGCCTTTAGGGAATTACGGGAAAGTAGCAAACAAAGTTATCATGGTATACTTAGACTAAATTTTTAAATTTTCTAATAACTTAAATGGCACTTTTATAACATTTAGGGCAGTGAACTTTGCTGCAAGTATGAGGAAGAGTAGGGGAAACCCTTCTTTATTTGCATATATTAATAGATACTAAAATTATATGTGTTCATGTTTTTTATTTGTTTGCTTTTGTTTTTTGAGGAGGCTTTCCATCATTCAGCACAAAGGAACAAGGACTCTGAAAATTTTTGGACATCATCCCTGGCATTACAAAAAAACAAGTTTTGGTCATTACCACCAGATCCTGTACATTTTGGAGTGGAGACGCCTCATGAAAAATTAGAAAGCATGTCAGAATCAGATGCCTTGAATTTCAGTGGTCTTTCTGAAGATTTAACTCACTCAGATTTTCCCTGCTGTATGGAAACAAGCCTCAGTGTTTCAGACTTGCCTCAGGTGTGCATTGCTTATAGGTTCTGGAGGTTCAGCTTTGTTCAGCATTTGCACTGTCATCCAGATGAACATATCTTCAAAAATATGAAAAAATAATAGGAGAATTTCTGGTGGACGCACAAAGGAGGGGAATGCAGCCTGGTTTTCTTAGTCCCTTTAGTGTTTGAAGAGAAAATTTTACACATAAAAGTGTCAGAACTGCTACTTTCTATCCCGCTCATGGAGGCCCAAAAGTGCAGTTAGGGGACAAAGCCACAATTCAGTCACAGAGGCAGGGCATGTGTCTCCCACCGTGTCAGTATGCAGATTTAGTTGTCATTCATAATGACATTGACAGTACCCTCCATGTTCATGGCTCCCATCCTTTATCTTCATGAAAATTCCTAGCGCCCTTTCTCATAAAATATCCCAAGATCTTCAGAAGTGTTGTTCTAAGGGTTTGATAATTGCTAACATGAGTATAGAGAAATAATAGGAATTTATTAAGTTAGGCCATATAAAATTGCCTTTTATAGTTCAAAAATGAACAAATATTGAAAATTTCATGTGTTTTCAGTTTATAAATTGGCAAAGCCTTTCTAAAGGGATATTTAGAGATATGAAATTGAGTTCAACCATTTTAAAATTCTGTCTACAACTCCAGGCACCATGACTCACACCTGTAATCCCAGCAGCTCAGGAGACTGAGGCAGTAGGATCAAAAGTTCAAAGCCAGCCTCAGCAACTTAGCAAGGCCCTAATTAGCTTACTGGGACCCTGTCTGTAAATATAAAAATGTCTGGGGATGTGGCTCTGTTTAAGTTCCTCTGGGTTCGATCCCTGCTACAAAAATTAAAATTCTCTCTAGAAAATATTCAGATGTTTATATAATTATCTATAGTAGTTAAATATTGGAAACTAAATTTTCATCAATGGGGGGCTAGTTAAGTTATCTGCACAGATGTAGAGTTGACCTGTAGCTTTATGTATTATGGTGAGCTTTCGAATACTTTGTGTCTTCAATGACCAGCATTTTTAAAATAATTATTAAAAACTTTCTCATTTTGAAAAAATAGATCATAGTATTTTAGTGTTGATCAAGGTCTAAGATACTATATTCTACATTTGGAAAAACAGATATCTTAAATTACATAAGGAGATCCTCCTTGGATTTCACTGGACATTTTATTCTTTTTAATAAATTTATACACAAAAGGCACATTTTTTTTTTCAGTTAACTGGCCATTTTAATAATGTTTATACCTGGATCAAATAGTGGTTCCATTCCATGTTTTCTGAGGAATCTCCATATACTGCTTTCCAGAGTGGTTGCACCAATTTACAGTCCCATCAGCAATGTATTATTCTACCTTTTCCCCCACATTCTCGCCAAAACCTATTATTGCTTATATTCTTGACAATTGCCATTCTGACTAGAGTGAGATGAAATCTTAGTTTGCATTTCTCTAATTACTAGAGATGTTAAACATTTTTTTCATGTTTGTCAATTGTACTTCTTTTTTTTTCATCAGAAATTTATTAGTTGCTCAAAATATTACATTGATCTTGACATATATCATACTTGATATATGTCATAACCCTTATGAATTCTTATTATTTCCACGTGTACAGATTGAAGGATCACATTGGTTATACAGCCACGTTTATACATACTGCCATACTAGTGTCTGTTGTATTCTGCTGCCCTTCCTATCCCCCCTCTCCCCCTCCCCTCTTCTCCCCTCCCCCCACCTCTCTCTACCCCATCAACCATAATTTATTTCTCTCTCTTTTTTTCCCCTTCCCCTCACATCCTCTTATATGTATTTTAAAAAGCACATTTTAGTTAAAAATAGTACTATCAGAGATGACTAGGATTGAAAGTTATCTGAAATTCTATGAGAAGTAGAATCATAAGAAGATTTGTGAAATATAAACGCAAGTGAATCATGCTTATTTTTTAAATATATTCTTAATACTTTTAAAATGTAATTAGGAGGAATGGTCTAAATTAGTAACAAGTCTAAAAAACAGATTTTAATAAGCTGTATCTGTTTTTATTGTAACTTCCAAGTACATTCAACACATGGGACAATTCTTAAAAAGTATTACTGAAGGGGCTGGGGTGGTGGCTCGGAGGTAGAGTGCTCACCTGGCACACACAAGGCGCTGGGTTCCATCCTCAGCATCACATAAGTGTAAAATAAAGATATTGTGTCCACCTAAAACTTAATAATAAATATAAGAGAAAAAGTATTACTGAATAGAAGTTTGTAGTCAACTGACTGTTTTTGGTAGTGCTGAGGTGCTCTACCACTAAGTTACATCTCCAGTTCTTTTTGAGACAGGGTCTTGCTAAGTTGCTTAGAGCCTTGCAATTTGAGGCTGGTTTCTAACTTGAGACCCTACTGCCTTGGCCTCCTGAGTCACTGGGTTAATAAGCACGCACCACCACACCCAGCTAGCTAACTGACTTTAATAAAAGATAAGTGGATGTTTTTTAGGGTACAGTTTATATCCACACACTTGATATACTATTTATTTATTTTGGTCTTGGAGACTGAATAGAGGTGCTCTACCATTAAGCTACATCCCCAATTCTTTTTTATTTTATTTTTGAGATAGGATCTTGCTAAGTTGCTGAGTCTGGCCTTGAACTTGGGATCATCTTGCCTCAGCCTGTCATGTCACTGGAATTATAAGCCACCATGCCTACCATTTGAATACACTATGATTAAACCAATATTTTCCTCAAAAATTTAAAATAGTTTCTTTTTTATTTTATTTATATTAATTAGTAAACCCTTTCTTAGATAATATTGAAATAACGGAATAATCCTTTGAATTTCAAAAATTACCATTTAATGGAATCAGATGTCAGCTCATTACTAGAGCTCTGATTTATATATCTTTAATGTTAAAAAAACTAGACTAACAACTACTCTAATGCTATTTAGACAAGATTTAACATCAAAGAATTATCAGTAATATGCATATATATGTACTCTCAAGTATTCTTATGTTTATAGTTACATGATCTGACTTATAAAAATACCAAAATATTGAAATAATAGTAGGCTATTTGTCAGTGTTGTGACTCAGGAAAGATACTAGTGCAAAAAAAAAATTCACCTGTGCAAAAAAAGCTCATATAATAAGGAAATTATGTAGCAATGAATGTATATCTTTAGAAGTTTACAATGTTTGAAGTGTTAATATTAATGCCCTTTACTTTGAATGCAGAATGAAACAAAAAATGCAAAGAGGGAAAATGAGTCTAAACCCACACTTTCTGAAGATATTTATAGCACACAAGATAGTTTAGGTGGTAAGTATCTCTTTGTTGGCAACATACAAAACAAAAACAATTTTTGTACCTATGATAATAATAATAATAGGTACTATGCTAAGCAGTTTATATACATTTATTCACTTTATATATATTCATTACATTTAATTTATAAACCTATGAAATAGGAATTTTAAAAAATTCAAACAAGGGCTGTTTTTATTCTCCATTTTACAGAGGAAGAGAGTAAGATTCAGTAACTTGCCTAAGGTCATGTAGCTTCAATTAAGCTATGATTCAAGTCTATTCTGACCCTAGAATTATAGACTGTACAAGTATCTTAAAAGATATATGTTGATATAACTAAAAATCTCTTATTCTAGCCTTAAGTTGATAGATGAAAGCTACAGAGTTAATCATATAATGAGGAACATAGATCATATTTAGTAAAGCAAACCCAAATGCTGTATAGAAAGGTCTTTTTATTTTTAAAAATTATGACTAATACTAAAAAGATTTGATTTGTCTCTTTATTTTTAATAATTTTGCATTATTTTTTTTACATTTTTTTAAAGAGAGAGTGAGAGAGGAGAGAGAGTGAGAGAGAGAGAATTTTTTTTAATATTTTTTTTTTAGTTCTCGGCGGACACAACATCTTTGTTGGTATGTGGTGCTGAGGCTCGAACCCGGGCCGCACGCATGCCAGGCGAGCGCGCTACCGCTTGAGCCACATCCCCAGCCCCAATTTTGCATTATTTAAATTATAGAATTCAGTAAGTGCAGTTGTAAGAATAAGAATTAGGAAGGAAAAGAAATTTTTTGTAAATATGTGATTTTTCTACAGAGAAAATTAATAAGAATCTATGAATATTGGAATCAATACAAAAGTTTAGAAAATTGATGTAAAAGAATAAATGTAAAACAATAAGCAATACAGTGTACCAGCATCAACTTATTTAAAAAATAATTTTTAAAAAACTTGCTAGTAGCAGCTCAAACTCTGAGGTACCTAAGAATAAATCTAAAAAAATGTATAAAGATTTCTCTAGAAGTTATAAAACTTTCCTGGAAGACAAAATATAAATGTTTCATGTTCAGTTTTATGAAGATAAAATTTTACATTTTCCTCAAATATATGAATTAATGCCATTTCATTTTTTTCTAAGTTGGTCCTAACATTCCCATTTAGAAGTGAAAAAGTTTTTAAAAAATAAAAATAATCACAATTTTGGAAAAGAAGATGTAGGAGACTTGTCCTGCCATATAACGAGATTTATTATAGAAGTTTTAGTAAATTTAAAAATATGTTATAGGCAGACAAGCAACACAACAGTGAAATAATAAAAAGTCCAAAAATAGATCCGATTATGAAAAATGGACACTTGGTATCTGATAGAGGTATTATTATAAATCAGGGAAAGAATAGATTAGATCATCAATGGATTAGATAATTCAGTTCTCCTCAAACAATGACACTTTAAAAAATGTAGGAAATGATTAGAACCTTAACTCACACCAAATACAAAAATAAATTCCACATAGATAAAGACCTACATGTGAACTAAAAAGTTCTAACATCTTTAAAAAAATTAGAAAATGCCATTATGACAATAAGAAAAGAAAATATTTCTTTCTTATTTATTGTTATTATTTTTGTGGTACTGGGGATCAAACCCACGGCTTTGCACATGCTAGGTACTGTACCACTAAACTATATATTCCCAGCCTTTTTTTTTTTTTTTTTTTTTTTTGGTTCTGGGGATTGAATTCAGGGGCACTTTACCACTGAGCCACATCCCCAGCCCTTGTTTGTATTTTATTTAAAGACAGGGTCTCACTGGTTATTTAGGCCTTGCTAAATTGCTGAAGCTAGCCTTGAACTTGATATCCTCCTGCCTCAGCCTCCTGAGCTGCTGGTATTACAGGCATGCACCACTGTGCCTGGCTCCCAGCCCTTTTTAAAATTTTATTTTGAGACAAAAACTTCCCTAAGTTGCTGAGGCTAGCCTTGAACTTGCAGTCCTTCCCCTTCAGTCTCCCACCTTGCTAGAATTACAGGTGTATGCCACTACACCCAGCTTCTTTCTAATTTTTTTAGACATGTATTAAAAATTGGCAGTATGTCCCACTGAAAAACAGTATAGCATTTCATTTAGAAGTAGTATTCTAGAATCTGAGCTCTGTGAACTTAGGCAAGTGACAACATCTCTTGCAACTTCATTTCTTATTATTGTTTGATCTTATTTACAAATAATATTTAAGTTTCTGGGCTGGGGATGTGGCTCAGTGGTAGAGTGCTCACCTAGCATGCATGAGGCACTGGGTTCGATCCTCAGCACCCCGTAAATGTAAAATAAAGATGTTATGTCCACCTAAAACTTAAGAATAAATATTTTAAAAAGAAGATTGAGTTATAAATAAGATCAAACAAGTTTTTTAAAATATATTTGCTGTTATTGCTACTCCATGTGATTTTGCATCCTTTTGAATTATTTTGTAATTAAAATATTTTAAAATTATAACAGAGACTTTTGAAGATATCTTGTAATTTTTTGTAATGGTGTTTAACCAAAATGATAAAAAATAAAAATCATGCTTTTTCTGTGGCATTTAAGGACTTCTTTCCCCCATGTAAAAAGTTACTGTGTTTAGTTTGCTAGCACAGTCATGCTTGAAATCCATGCAATTGAATAAGGTTGAAAGATATGTAATTTCTAAAAGGCTTCAACAATTTATTTGTTAAGTATAACATTTATCACATGAATTTATGGTCAATCATTCTTCTTTCTTTCTAATGAGATATCAACATTGGAAGTTACTCACAGAAGATTCAAATTGAGCCTATTAACACCTGCATTTCTTCGTTGAGACAATTTGAACCCATTTGCAAATTTCATCAGCTAGAAGCATTTAATGATGAAATGACAACATTTCAAAATCTAACAGAAGGCTTTTCTTACATGGAGAAGCCAGAATTGCAAAGCCATGTGTATAATTATGCAAAAGATACCAATATAAAGCAAGATTTATGTAAGGAAGAAAATCCAATGGAAACTAGCATTTCTGCAAATAAAGACCAGCTTGCTCAAGAATGTGTCAGACAGTCTTCTCAAAGTCCACATCTACTCCAGTGCAATGGAGAGACACTGCAGTTTGTGGAAAAGTCACTGGCTAAAAGCACGGCTATGGAGTCTGCCCTCAACCCTAGTCAACCTCAGAGCTTTTTGTATAAAGAAGGTGTCCTCAGAAATTATGAAAACCCATTTTTTAAGGAGAATAGCTTTAGGCTGCTTGATCAGAGAGTTAATTATAAAACAGAAGAGGTAAGATTGTTAAAGATAGTAAAGACTGTGGAACATTCAAGGATGTTCAGGTTTTGGTCTGTTTTTAAAAACATATAATTTAGGCTTTTCCAAGTAGCATTAAATATTAAATCAAAGAATTACATAGAGCCTATAGCATTTCATAGGGAAATGAATGTAATATATTTTTATATCATTTGAAACAAACTAGTTGAAACTCATAGTTTGCATTGAGGGAAAAGTTGAGAAAAGGCAGGCATGCAGAAGTATTGACTAAATTATTTGACAAGAAAAGCTTAAGATTTTTCTATATGTTGAACTTTTGTGGAAAAGCAAAGAATACTAACTTCTACCAGAGTGAAAACATTATCTTTGGTTTATTGATTCTGGCACACATGTAGTACCCCCAAAACACTGAAGATACCAGGAGTATAAATTCTACATACTGTCTGAAGAAAAAATAAGAGTTGCAAGAACTTGTGTGGGTAAATAGAATCCAAGCATAATATTAATACATAGTATTAATAGCCCTCCTTTCAGTATGAGTTTGATAAGAAAAGCTGTGACTGTTGTTTCATTTATAAGTATGAACGGTGTTTTGTTTTTCATTTATTTGGAAGTAGATGGCTACATTTGAAAAAGGACTTTCCTGGGCTGGGGTTGTAGCTCAGTGGTAGAGTACTTGTCCAGCAAGCTTGATCCCCAGCCTTCCCACAATTTTCCCATATTGATTTCTGGATAATAACATTTTAAAAGTCTGCTTAATTAGGGTTTTTCAAGATTGCTCCTTCCTCTTTCTGTTGCATTGTCATTTCTCAACCATTCAACAGATACTCGGGCATCTTTTTTGTACCAGGCCCTGGCCTAGATCCTAGTTATGTCCTGGTTACAAACAAACAAGAAATATATTTGGTTCTTGTCCTCATGAAAATAATGTCTTAGAAAGGGCTAGGATTGTGGCTCAGCAGTAGAGCGCTTACCTAGCATGTGCGGGGCCCTGGGTTCGATCCTCAGCACTACTTATAAATCAATAAAATAAAGGTATAAAAAAAATCTTAGTAGAAGAGATAGTCATTAAGCAAATAATCACACAAATAAAGGTATTTTTATCAATGATAAAGAGCTGTATTGAAGTAGAACAATAGGACACTGACGTGGTCAGGGAGTCCAAAAGGTGTACCTGAAGAAGTGGTCATTAAGTTCTAAAGAGTGAGTGGTGGGGTCCATTAGCCTACCATGGGTGGAGAAACAGTCACATTCAGGTAACAACATCTACAGAACCCCTGTGGCTGCAGGGAGCCGGGTACTTGCTAGGACTTGAAGGAAGCCCAGTCCAGGAAACCCAGGGTTGCAAGGGCAGGAAGGGTGTGGTGGGTACGGACAGAAATTATGAAAACCCATTTTTTAAGGAGAGGAGTGGCAGGTCAAGTGTCCAGGTCATTTAAGTCTCAAAAAGTTACTTGTCTTTATCCCAAGTAATGAAAATTCACTGAGTCAGGGGTCCAGTTGGCCTAATACCACTTGACAGGTATCTTACTGAGTTTTTAATGTCATATTCATTTTAGTGTTTTTTTTAACCACAATTTACTGACCATTAACCTCTTCCCTAAAACCTGGGTTGTGGCCATAAAGTCAGTCATGAGGTTTGTTTGCCTACCATTCTCATGGTCACAGAGTTGTAGCATAGTGAGGTGTAATGGTCTATATGAGGAATTTTAAAATCTATTCAAAAAGGACTTTGTGTTCTTTAGGGAAATTGATACACTTCTTTGTTTTATTCATTTAAAGTCAAAGCATATTATATGTGTTAAGAGAAGTTTGCATGATGGAAAATGGTGAAAGTTTCAAAGTATAATTTTTTGTTTTGTCAAAATAAACACAATATATATCTGTACCATACAACTACTGCTTGTGTTCTGTTGTGCTTTAGGTGCAATACATACATTCAGCAATTCATATTTAGGAGTTAACTTTGTTAAGTAGATATTATTGGAAGTAGGTATTATTATTGTTATTTTATAGTTGAGGAACCAAACTAGTCATTAAGAATTCAAGGCCTGCACATCGATGTTCATAGCAGCACAATTCACAATAGCTAGACTGTGGAACCAACCCAGATGCCCTTCAATAGATGAATGGATTAAAAAAAATGTGTCATTTATACACAATGGAGTACTATGCAGCACTAAAAAATGACAAAATCATGGAATTTGCAGGAAATGGGCATTAGAGCAGAATGCTAAGTGAAGCTAGCCAATCCCTAAAAAACAAATGCCAAATGTCTTCTTTGATATAATGAGAGCAACTAAGAACAGAGCCGGGAGGAAGAGCAGGAGGAAAAGATTAACATTAAACAGAGACATGAGGTGGGAGGGAAAGGGAGAGAAAAGGGAAATTGAAGGGAAAAGGAAAGAGACCCTCATTGTTATACAAAATTACGTATAAGAGGTTGTGAGGGGAATGGGAAAAAAAAAACAAGGAGAGAAATGAATTACAGTAGATGGGGTAGAGAGAGAAGATGGGAGGGGAGGGGAGGGGGGATAGTAGAGGATAGGAAAGGTAGCAGAATACAACAGTCACTAACAGGGCTTTATGTAAAAATGTGGATGTGTAACCCATGTGATTCTGCAATCTTTGTAATGTTTTGAACAATCAATTAAAAAAATAAATTAATTAAATTAAAAAAAAAAAAAAGAATTCAAGGCCTGGGCTGGGGATGTGGCTCAAGCGGTAGCACACTCGCCTGGCATGCGCGGGGCGCTGGGTTCAATCCTCAGCACCACATAAAAATAAAGATGTTGTGTCCACTGAAAACTAAAAAATATTAAAAAATTCTCTCTCTCTCTCTCTAAAAAAAAAAAAAAAAGAATTCAAGGCCTGCTCTGACTCCGAAGCTTGGCTGATACAATGACTGAATGCAATGGAAAGAGGGGGAAGACTCAATCTTGAGAAACTCTAACATTGAGTAAATTTTTAAAATGCTGTTTTTCAGAAATCAACGTGGGAAAATAAAATTTCCCCCCACTTCTCCCAGTCCTGGGTATCAAATCCAGGGCCTCAAGCAAATGCTCTACCACTGAACTATATCCCTAACCCAATAAAGTTCTTTTTCAAATGATGCCATCTATTTCCGAATAAATCAACAACAAAACCCTCTTATACTTGTAAATGAAATAAAATAGCCACAGCTTCTCTTGTCAAACTCATGCTTAAAAGGTGATTTATTGGGATATTTGTACTTTTTTCATATTTATTTTATTTACTATAATTTACAGACTGAAGTTTCTTCAAAAGAAATACAAAATCCTGAGGAGAGTCCTGAGATGTCAGTCAGTCAGCAGGAAGAAGCCATAGCAGGAAATGCGGAAAGCCCAGGGATTGCCTTAAGTTGGTCTCCAGGCATCTCCAAGAGTGGGGGAAATTCTTGGGAGAACCGCCTGACACCTGACACAGAGCAAAGCTTGGAAGGCTTACAGCCTTTAGAAGAGGACATGGCTTTAAACGAAGCCTTAAGGAAATTGAAATACACAAACAAAACACAGCAGGTGCAGATCCAGGACTTCCAGTGTAAGAACCTGCATTTAGAGAAGAAAGTTAAAGAACTAGAGATGAAGATTACCAAACAGCAGGTGTTCATTGACATCATAAATAAGCTGAAGGAAAACATTGAAGAATTAATTGAAGACAAATACAACATAATCCTAGAAAGGAACGATATTAAGAAGAAATTACAGAATTTGCAAGAGATTTTAGCTAACACCAAAAAACGACTTCAGGAATCTAGGAAAGAGAAGGAAATCTTACAGCTAGAAGTTAAAAAAGTCAAGGTCGGTTATATTCGTTTACAGGAAAGGTGCATTACTGAAATGCAACAAAAAAATAGATCTGTAAATCAGTGTATAGAGATGGACAAAACGTTAAGCAAGAAAGAAGAGGAAGTAAGAAGGCTGCAGCAACTTAAAGGAGAAATGGAGAAAGCTACCACTTCTGCTTTGGACTTGTTGAAAAGGGAAAAAGAGACCCGAGAACAACAGTTCTTGTCTTTACAGGAGGAATTCCAGAAACATGAAAAGGAAAACCTGAAAGAAAAACAGAAATTGAAATTGAGAATTGAGAAATTGATTCCTCAAGTTAAAAATTTGCTATTCACATGTGAAAAAGAAAAGGCCAAGAATTCACAACTCCAGCAGCAGATCAGTGGAGTAAAAAATGAAAATGCAAAACTTCAGCTGCAGGTTTCAAAGAGTGTCCCTAAATTTGAGAGAGCTCAGCTAATGGAGTCATTAGAGGAAATAATGGAGCCAGTTGTTACCAAGGTACTGATGCAGATTCAGAATCTCCTAACATAAAATTCCAAAAGTCTCTAGTGGTATATTGATTGATGTACATGTAGACATGGTATTATTTATATATAGTATTTGTTTGCAGAAACAGTTATTAACGAAAAAGAGAAACAGGAAAATGCACCACAGGTTTGAAGAAGGTTTTTTTGGCTTATAGGTACTCGCCTTAAAGAGTAGCCATTCTTGTCTTCTTCTGAGTATTTTGGTAGAGGTGACATCCTGAAAATTTTGCAGGTACCCATAACCAATCATCACCTGAAGCATCTCTCAGAAGTTACCTTTGAGAAAGGATTTTCTAAATATGCTCTCCATCCTAAACAGCTATAAAATGAAATAATTGCATATTTGGTACAAGGTAAAACAAATGTTCTAATTAAAACATCACATAATTATTTTTTAAAATTATAAGGCATTTAAAAATACCATCAGAACCTCATATTAATATGTGTAGAGATGTAGTTTTTTTAATATCTGCAGTTAAAAAGACTTTTTAAATAGCCAAGAACCTGAAAGCACATCCAAGGAAAAGATTATTTTCACCAACTGGAGCAAATCATAGGCCTACCTTAAAGTATACGAATCTTTACTAAGTGTAGTAAAATCTTAGTAATTCTAACTTCTTAAAGAGCTAATTAAACTAGGGAAATGTATTTTTAAAAATTTGTTATAACAAAGATAACTTAGCTGAGCTGATATGTTGCCTTGAAGATGTCCTCAGCTCACTTTCTCATATGAATCTGTAATCAGTCTAAGTGTTTGCAAGTAAATATATTTTTTTTAATGGTGGTGGAGATTGAACCAAGGGCCTCACATACATGAAGCAAGTACTTTACTACTGAGCTACTACCCAGTCCCAAATAATTCTATTTTTAAGAATTCTTGTGTTTTAAAAATTCTAAGATTATCTAAATCAGTGGTTCCAAACTTGAATACATGTCCTGGAAGACTTATTAACAGACTGCTGGTCCTTGCCACAAGAGTTTCTGATTCAGAAGGCCTGGGATGGGGCTTGAGAATGTGCACTTCCAGCAAGATCCCAAGTCTTAATGCTGCTATCCAGGAATCCCATTTTGAGAACCACTGACATAACAAGATGACCTTAACTTTAGCTCCTAACCAAATCATGATACCTTTTGGATTTATAAACTCTGAATTAGTTTAACTATATAGAGGTTTAACATTGTATACAATTTTTTCTTAAGCTTCCTCTAAAAAAAAAATCAAGTACCTTTTGTTATCTTCACTAGTGAATTTATTTAATATCCGAAATTTCATACTGGGCTTTCAGTTTTGCTTCTCACTAACACTAGATTCGTTTTTTCAAAGTATAGTTTGGGATCATCTATGACAGCAAAAATATTTTGTTAATAATATTAAGACATTATTGCCTTTTTCATTCACTTTTTCAGTATAGGTTTTTCCAGAAGCTATGTGACATGGTATTGTATTTGTTCTCAGGGCTGATTGGGTATGTGAAGCAAATATGGGAATCCTGCTGTCTTATTAATATAACATTAATATATATACATATACTTGCAGAATGGGCTAAGGTTGTAGCTCAGTGGTAAAGAGATTGCCTAGCATGTTCAAAGCCCTGGGTTCCATCCCAAGGACCACACTCACACAGAGAAAATTGGCAAAAATGTAAAATAACGCCATTCTTTTCAATATTTGTTTTTAATTTTGAAAATATAATTTTAATTAAATATTTATGTTGGTACACATGAAGTGTTATTAGTTAAATCACCAAACAAATATTCTAAAATATTCTTAGTTATAATTTCTAATACACTAAATATTTTTTTAAAGAGAGAGAGAGAGAGAGAGAATTTTCAATATTTATTTTTCAGTTTTCAGCAGACACAACATCTTTATTTTATTTTTATGTGGTGCTGAGGATCGAACCCAGTGCCCCGCACATGCCAGGCGAGCGCGTTACCCCTTGAGCCACATCCCCAGCCCCTACACTAAATATTGATAGCCAGAAACTATACGATCAAAGGTTTGGGGGGTCTTCAATAATTTTTAAGAGTACACAAATGCCCCAAGGAAAAAGAGTTTAAGAACATCGCTCAAAGTTTTTAAGAGTGCTATTTTATTTAGCATTTTACTGGGGCTGGGGTTGTGGCTCAGTAGTAGAGTGCTTGCCTAACACGTGTGAGACACTAGGTTTGATCCTAAGCACCACATAAAAATAAAGATACTGTATTCACCTAAAACTAAAAACAAAAATATATTTTTTAAAATTTTACTTAAAAGGTAATTCAGATTCTTTGTCTTTCTTGTGACATATCTGAATTGTGTACATGTAGGATGCTGAGATGATACCTTGTAATTTGTTACTGAATTGCTCACCTTGTGAAGAAGAGGGCTTGAATACTGCAGATCTGAAAACTCCTCAGCTGACCTCCAAAATTCATAGTCTTCTGACTTTGATGGTAGGACTTCTCACATGTCAGGTAATTTTAAAAATCAGATTTTAGTTGGAAAGAAGTATTGGGGTTGGACTATACAAAGAGAGACAATAAAATAAATAAGTTTAGCTCATAATGGACTCTCAACAAGTAGTAGTAAATACTCAACAAGTATTTACTAACTTCCTGACATGTCCTTGGAGATAATTATATTTATTGTCCTTGATTTTTATGGATTGACTCATTCAATCCTTATGCCAATCCTTATTAGGCTTTTTCATGAATGTGTAAACATGCACACGTATTATAATGAACATTAACAGCTTGGCAGTTATATTAATCTGTCCCAGTAACAATGTATGTACAAGTGTGAATCAATATAGGTCCTTCCATATTAACTCTTTATGAGATTTTGTGAGGAGTATTTGAAGAATGGAGTTCAAAATGATTTTATCTCCTTTGGTTTGGCCACTTATTTTGGAAGGGAGAGTTGTTTCATTTGCTTAATTTTTTCCTCCTTTTAAGTTGATAAAAAATACTTTAATCTGTTTCTCAAACTCTACTGCCCTTAGGACATCACCAATCCTGATGCAGACCATTGCAAAGAAAGTGAGAAAGTTAATGACATAATGCTGCAAAAATTGGAGAGCCTTCATCTTAGGAAGATAGATTTAGATAAAGAGGTATTATATTTATTCTTCATTCTAATACTGTATTAATTTAATGGAAAAAAATGAGGGTCACAGAGAAGTCACTCCTAAAATTCATTTAAGAATTGTTTTAGGGGCTGGGGATGTGGCTCAAGCGGTAGCGCGCTCACCTGGCATGCGTGCAGCCAGGGTTTGATCCTCAGCACCACATACCAACAAAGATGTTGTGTCCACCAAGAACTAAAAAATAAATATTAAAAATTCTCTCTCTCTCTCACTCTCTCTCCTCTCTCACTCTCTCTTTAAAAAAAAAAAAAACAATTGTTTTAGGAGACCAAATTAGCTTTACAAATTAACTAAATAGATAAAATGTTCAATATTTGACTTGTTTCTTAAATTTAGTTTCTATTAGAAAATATTCATCTACAAAAATATTTGGTATGATTATTTTTTCAGTTTTACATGGTACTATTAATTACTGAAGAATAGTTTATTTTGATATGGTTGTGGTTTTAAACTTAATCACTTGGAATAATGGAAACATTAAAAAGAAATAATTTTATTTCTCAGGTGGGAATAAGAGTAAGAGCAGAGGTTTTGGAGTTTCTTCAATTCTCTTGGTATGGTACAATGATTGAGGGATAAGAATAAGAGAGTGAGTTAAACAGGGAAGATGATAACAGGATGTTAAATTGTGCCATTTTTAATCTGAAAGGAATAAAGAAATGACAGTTTTATCTGGCTAAGGGAGTAAAACATTCAGATATGAATTTTGGTTAGCAACAAAGTTTTGCACTTCTTCTCTAAATTAATATGGTAGAAAATATGCTATAGGTATTCTGTGGAATCTCTGTCTTCTAGCTAATCTGTAGAAAAAAGGATCAAAGAATAGCACAGCCCTGCAGAGGAAATACTAGCCTCCAATTCTGTACACCAGGTCTTCAAAAACCTTAGTTTTGAATTAAGAATGTTATGAAAATACAATCTCAGATATTTATTTTCTTTTGGTGAATTTCTGTGTAACTACTGAAATACTGACAGGTGTCATGATATAATGTCTACAGTTTGATTCAGACAAAGGTGGAAGGAGAAAGAAAGAGGACTGGCTGGAGATAAAAATGATGCATGATTGACCATTAGCTATTAATTGGTTTGTTTTTGGTTTTGAAGGACAATTTTTATTATTTTTAGGTACAGAAACTCAGCAGTCTAATGTAGTTTCTTTAGCTTCTGCCTTGTCCAGTTGGCAATGTGAGCTGCAGATTTTGGATCCAGGATGTTGCCTCTCCAGAGATGGTAGATCTTTTTTTTTTTTTTTTAAGAGAGAGAGAGAGAGAGAGAGAGAGAGAGAGAGAATTTTTAATATTTATTTTTTAGCTTTCAGCGGACACAACATCTTTCTTTGTATGTGGTGCTGAGGATCGAACCTGGGCCGAACGCATGCCAGGCGAGCGAGCTACCGCTTAAGCCACATCCCCAGCCCGAGATGGTAGATCTTATCACATATTATTGTAATTCCACCAGCTTAGCCAGAGCTCTTTGTTTACCTGTGTGAAAGCAACAATGGTTGGTGCCCATCTTCCTGTGGGCTCCGTGTCCCAGCTTGGCCTTCCTCTTGATGCAGTTAGGGAACTCCTAACTTGTAACACAGGGCAGACAGGAAGAAACCAGCTGGACAGCATCCATGGCCATGTGCAGTCACCACCAGCTGAGCCTTCCTGTTCTTCCCCAGTGCTGTGGTGAAAGGATTAATCACTGCTAGAAGGACTACAGGTTGTCTTTTTAGTGGAAACATCCCTTTTGCCAGTAGCTTTCTTCTCAGCCCAGGCCAACAGTCTGCTTCTTCTTTTGCTTTGTGTCTGGTCTGCATTTGTGGGCAGCCTAAGCAACTGTGCAGCAGGTTGGCAGTTCAAGGCCTGGTGAGCTAGTTAATTGCAGGAGGCACTATGAGCTGCATATAAAGGAGGGCCCTTTGCTGTTACAGCTAGATGTAGTGGGCCATTTGACAAAGTGGGAAAGTGGGTGAGATCCTTTTTTGAGCTGGATGTCTGTCCAATGCCAAAGTTCTTAGGACTTTTCTCAAATAAGATTTACCACCTTCTTGGTTCCCTGCTTTTTTCTGATATCAGGAGTTGGGGCCATTTTCTTCCCCTTGACCTTTTTTTGGCATCCTAAATGGTTGGAGGAGAGAGCCAGTGGCCATTGTTAGTTACATAGGGGCTCACTAAAGTTTTTTCTCTATTTGTTGTAAATAATGGAAATATTTAATAATAAAAAATGAAAATTTGGACAGCTCTACTCACTGATATTTGAAGAGTTTGAATATTGAATATTAAGATTTATTATTGTTATACTGAAGGAACAAATGAACAATTAATAACCATCAATTACAATCCAGACAAATTTTTTTTTTTTCTTTTCTTTTCTTTTTTTTCTTGGGCACCAGGGATTGAACCAGAATCTTGCACATGCTAAGCAGATGTTGTATCACTAAGCTACACTCCAGTCCCACTTCCTTTTGCTTTAAAAATTTTAATGAGGGAGGGAGAGGGGATGTGTTGGGGACTGATAATAGCTAAATTATATTGTTATATTGTATGCAGGAACATTTTGTGCAACTATAATGCACCAATAAAAATGTGGAAAGAGAAGAATGAATGGATGAATGTCTCTTAATGGCCAGACGTTAATAACAATTGAATATTAGGATGAGTCGTCCATGATCACCCCTAGATTTAATGATTTGCCAAAGATCTCTCAGGACACAGTGTCCAGTCATACCCACAGCTGTGATTTATTAGGGCAGGAGGCTGCAAAGCAAAATCAGCTAACAGAAAGCCCTCTATGGGAGAGCATAATGTAGGGAATAGACTAAAGCTTCCCAGAGTCCTCAGGAGTCACCAGGAAGCCCCAACAATGAATTGTGACTACAGGTGTAAAGTGTTATCTACCAAAGAATCTCATTATAAAGAGCCAGCCCTGGGATTGTTGTTTATTTTCTTTTTCTTGTGGGAGCTGTTCACATGGGCACCCTCTGCCTAGCACATACCGAAGTTTCAGCTCCCAGCTAGAAAGCAAGTATTCAGTTTAAACCACAAGCTTTGGACAAATAGGTTAGACACAGTGAGCCATTCACATCAGGAAATGGTGGAATCTCCCACACTCCAAGATCCCAGATGCCTTGCTGACAGGCCTACATACACCTAGCAGTTTTTAGGCCTAAGTGTGAACTCTTTTCCTCTGAAGAGCTGTAAAAACCGCTTATTTTTTCGAGACCAAAAGTTAAACTGTGCAAGGTTTGATGATTTTATCACAAATACTATAGAATGCAGTTTTGTTTTCTCTCCTCTGAAATATAAAATGCTTTTTTTTCTTAGCTACTGAAACATAAAGACAGAATTACAACCTTTAGAGAGTTAATTGCTAATGAAAAAGCATTTCAAGATCACCTTATTGAGGTGAGTTTAACACTTACTATGCATTTACTTTAACATACAAAAGTATAATTTCAGATATTTGTGTTCTCTTGGTAAATTTGTTGAATTGAAATCTTCTTGCTTTAAGTTCTGTGCTCTATGATTCCAGCCATTCATCAGTCATCTTTTTGAATTTTAAATTACTAAAGCACATATTGTTAAATGTTCCAAGTATTGTGTAAGTTTTGAAAACGAACACAAATACATTAAATCCCAGGTCACAGATTTTGATTCTGATGAAGCCAAGAATATCCAAGATGTACCTCTCTTATTGGGAGTCAAACTGGATAAGTACCACAGTCTAAATGAGGAGCTTGACTTCTTGGTAAGAAAGACCTTTTGTTGCTTTGCTATCATTTTTATATCCAACACTGCTTTATTCCTAAGTTTAAAAAATTATTAACCTTCAAAAATTTGCTTGTTAAAATGGTCATGTATTGGCACTGTGACAGTATTATTCACCCATAGAATTAATGAATTTTCATGTTCTAGTTTTAAAAGTCCAACTTGGTTTCTGTTTAGACTTATCAGATTTACATAAAATGCAAAAAACAAAAAATATATGGATGAGGCATATTTATGTTGGTGTATATGCTACCATAATAGCTGTGTACAATAATCATAATTAGGAAACAATTTTCATAGTTTACTTCAGGTTGCATGAAAAAAATAAAAGGAAAAAAAACAGGGAAATATGTTAGGAGAAAATGAAAATATGACCTTGGTATCTAGAACTATACTGGGTATTAGATGACACTGTGATGACAAATCTAGAATGTGGAGGATTTTAATAAATAAAAATTAGCATGAGAAAAGAGGAAGGGAATAACTGTTACCAACTAAAAGAGACTAGAGAGTTGAAGGACAAATCCACCCAAATGCAATGTGTGAAACCCAACAAAGTAGCTATAAAGATATTTGTAAGATAATAGCAGAAAAAAAATTGAACTCAGTCTGGGTATTAGATGATTAAGATGTTATTGGGGCCAGGTTTGGTGGTACAAAACTGTAATACCAGCAACTCTGGAGGCTGAGGTAAGAGGACTGCAGAAAGCACTGGGCACTGGAGGTGTAGCTGAGTGGTAGAGCACTTGCCTTGCATGTGCAAAGCTCTTATTCATTCCTCAGTGCTAGGGAAAAGAAAAAAAGAATCATAGGCCAGAACATGAAATATATTAACTTTTTTTTTCTTTCAGTATGGGGATTGAACCCAGTGGTGCTCTACCACTGAGTTATATCCCCAGTCTTTTTTATTTTATTTTGAGACAGGGTCTTGCTAGGTTGCCCAGGCTGGCGTCAAACTTTCTATCCTCCTGCCTCTGCCTCCCAAGTAACTGGGACTATAGGTGTGCACCACTGTGCCTAGCTAAGCTAAACCTTTTTTAAAAATTGCAGTTCTTTATACAAGGGAGAATATTTCTGAACATGGAATCATCAAGAACAACTTACTTCATACAGAAATCAAATATGTCAATGTATTGATTATACATGGAAAAGGAAGGGAAGACTTAGGGCTGATAAATATTTGTATGTACTAAGGTGTTCATTTACTTGCAAAGCTGTTTCATGGTGTTAGATCAGTGAAAAAATAAAACCCCATTATAATTCCTGCTCATCTGTTCTATGTGTAATGTAATCAGGATCTGATTCATGATTCACTTCATGGTATAACTCGGTTTAACCCATTAAGTCTCAAGTTTTCAATTCTGCAAATATTTCAACAAAGTTGACACAGGTGCCATAAAATAGGTTAGAAATAGTAATCTAGACTTTATATATCCTTTATATGCATATTTTAAACATTCTAATGACTTCCCTGTTACTTTGCTCAAAAAAATAAAACTCTAGGGCTGGGGATGTGGCTCAAGCGGTAGCGCGCTCGCCTAGCATGCGTGCGGCCCAGGTTCAATCCTCAGCAGCACCACATACCAACAAAGATGTTGTGTCCGCCGAGAACTAAGAAAAAATAAATAAATGTTAAAATTCTCTCTCTCTCTCTCTCTGTCTCACTCTCTCTTTAAAAAAATAAAAATAAAATAAAACTCTAAAAATATTTATTTTAAAAGTTAACATAAGTAGTATATTGGTTGTTTAATTTAGGTTTTTATAGCTGTCCCATCTAGGACCATGGGACTTATTGAGTTAAGAAAATATTGGAATAAAGTAAAGCTCACTGTCCCCATTAGTTCTTCATGGTAGTTTCCAAGTTAGTATTTTTACTGGTGTTTTTTCTTAGATCACAAAATTGGGAGGTCTTCTGGAGTCAAAAGAAGTTCACTGCAACCGACTCATTGAAGAGAATGATAATTATCAGAAATATTTAGGCAACTTAATAAATAAGGTACAGATTTTCTTATAGAAATATTTGTCTTTAAAAATTATATGAGATGGGAGTTCATAACCCACTTGAATCTAATGTATGAAATATGATATGTCAAGAGCTTTGTAATGTTTTGAACAACCAATAAAAAATAAATAAATAAATAAATTATATGAGGCCCTGAATTTGATCCCCAGGACAATAAACAAATAAACAAACATGACAGATATTCAAATAATAGAATTTTGGAACTAAAAAGGACCTGAGATTTGAGGTAACCCAATAATATTCATCCCGTTTACTTCATAATGGCATTATAAAATGCTGCCATTAGCCTTTCAGCAGGAATCTAGCATGTGTATATCCTGCTGAGGGCAAGTTAAAGTTTTTGTATTGGTACTTTGTTTTCAGAATAATTATGAATCTTGCCAACTTAGTGTTTTAGTTTACTTTTTAAAAACTGCATTAACTTTAACCACATAGACTGTGATTCTGGCATGTATGAAACTTGTGTGGAAGACAAGTGGGTCGTAGTCAGTTCACTATAGCTGTCCACATTTTGGTACTTCTCTTTTTTGGCATGATGAATAGGCGTGATATAATTCCATTGTTATTCATAGATCTCAAAATATGAGATGTTTTGTCTATTGTAAAATTTTCATCCAACAATTGAACTTCAACTGGTAGAAATTTAAAAATGAGTAAAGAAAATTAAAACCAGGCATAGTGGTACATACCTGTAATCCCAGTGACTTGGGAGGCTAAGGTAGGGCAACTTTTGAGGCTAGCCTGGGCAACCTAACAAGATTGTCAGCAACTTTTAGTGAGACCTTGTCTCAAAATTAAAAAAAGAAAAGAAAAGAAAAGAACTAGGGCTGGAGTTGTGGCTCAGTGGTAGAGTGCTTGCCTAGCACGTGTGAGACACTGGGTTCGGTTATCAGCACCGCATATAAATAAATAAAGATTCACCAAAAACTAATAAAGTTTTTAAAAAATTGTTAAAAAAATAAAAGGACTAGAAATCTATCTCAGTGGTTCAATCCCTGGTACTAAATAAATAAATAAAACAGAATTTATCAAAGAATAACTGCTTACCTTATTTTTTCAAGGTTACTTCATATGAAGAAATTATCAAATGTGCTGATCAAAGGCTTGAGATATCCCACTTCCAAATAGCACAGTAAGTTTATAAAACTCAATTTTTAATTTTATGAATATTTACTAATATCTAAATTAATTTTCCTTGACTACTATAAAGAGGAAACATGCAATTTTATAAATCAGACCATTCTTCATTAATATAGCTAATCTGCTTAACCTGTATTCCATCATCCTATATATAGGACACCTATAAAATTTTAGTTGAGCAATTTTATATGTGTCCCATAAAATTTTATAGGTTTTTATACATGCTCTTATATCAAACAACGGGACAAAATGGGTTTTAACATTCAGACTATTTGAACAAGGTTGAATAGCCAGATTTTCATTTTCCTGTCTTAGAACTGCTTTTGGTTTTAAGGGAATTAGTGAGAAACATCTAGCAATTTTAGAGTATATATTATCATAGTATTCAAATAAAATAACTTCCAATGCTTAGCATTTATTCACAAAAAGATATTGAATGCAAACCAATAGTACCAAATCAACTCATCAGAACTAATTTAGCATAAAAGTCTCCAAAACTAATATTCTTAAATTTTGCAGCTTTCCACTGACTTATTATTCTTACTTCTAATATGCTTCTCCCTCTGTCCTTCCCCCAATTTCATTTATCTCAACATAACAAAAGGTCTATTCTTAGATAGAAAACACTCCCCCTACCCCCAAATTATGAGCTTCCTATTGGAGTTTTCCCCATAAGATAACAGAAAATGTGGGTACTGGTAGCTTGGAAAGTTAGCTTTTGTTTTTCACTGTTGTTTCTAAGCAGAGTGAATAGTAAACAATTTTCCCGTTTTTTTTCCACACTAATACAGGTAAGTTTTAAGAATGGAAAGAATATTTTATACTCAAGAAATAAAGTTAAGGGGCTGGGGCTGGGGCTGTGGCTCAAGCGGTAGCGTGCTCGCCTGGCATGTGTGCGGCTCTGGTTTGATCCTCAGCACCACATACAAAGATGTTGTGTCCGCCAAAAACTAAAAAATAAATATTAAAATTCTCTCTCTCTCTCTCTCTCTCTTTAAAAAAAAAGAAAAAAGAAATAAAGTTAAACTCTTCCTCAGCTTATAACCAAGAAAATAATGAAATATCAAAATAAAAAATAAGATTTAAAAAACAGCATCAAACTAGCCGTGGTAGTGCATGTCCGTAATCCCAGTGATTCAGGAAGCTACGTCAGGAGGATTGCAAGTTAGACATCAGCCTCAGCAACTTAGCTAGGCCCTAAGTAATTTAGTGAGACCTTGTCTCAAAATAAAGAATAAAAAGGGCTAGGCTTGTGGCTCAGTACCTGGGTTCAATACCTGGTACCAAAACAAAACAAACCACCAAACAGTATCAAACTATCATTTTGGCCATGTTGCTTTACCCACTCCCTAGTTTTTTGTTTTGTTTTGTTTTTATGGGGGTGGTACCAGGGATTGAATTCAGGAGCTCTTAACCTCTAAGAAACACATCCCCACCCCCCCGCTTTTTTTTTTTGAGACAGGGTTGTGCTAAGTTGCTTATGGTTTCACTGAGTTGCTAAGGCTGGCTTTGAACTTGTAGTCCTCTTGCCTCAGCCTCCCAAGTGCTGGGATTACAAGCATGTGCCACTGTGCCCAGCTACCCTAGTTACTTTTAAAATTAAAAAAAAAAATTAAATGTATGTTTCAGTTGAGTGATTAACTCAGTTTGTGTTGATGAAGAAACGTGGCATCTGAGTTCTACAAGCTTTATTAAAAGAAGGGTCAAGTATGACTATTTATTAGGAACCTCTTGAATGTGTTTAAAAAATAACAGTGTCTAGGCCCTAACCTAAAACTCCATTGCACTAAAATGAAACATGGGCATTAATATATTTCACAAGCTGTCCAAATAATTCTAGTGTCTGGACAGATTGATTACTACTGCCCGATATCATGTGAGTCGATTTGCTTAAATGATCACTGTTGTAATACATTTTTTAAACCAAATATGTCCATGATGATATATTTTGTTTTAGTGAATTTGCTTTGGTATCATTAAAAAGCATATGCTGCTTCAAAAATTATGAAATATATAATCAGAGCAGTGTTCTTTAACTTGGCTTTAGTTTGTTAATTCTGTTAAACTTTAGCAGTATTTGAGGTATTATTCTCCAAATACATTCATTGACTATGCTGTAATTTTTCAATTCACATGCCTTGGACTTTTTTTTTTTTTAAAAAGAGAGTGAGAGAGAGGGAGAGAGAGAGAGAGGATTTTTTTAATATTTATTTTTTAGTATTTGGCGGACACAATATCTTTGTCTGTATGTGGTGCTGAGGATTGAACCTGGGCCGCACGCATGCCAAGTGAGCGCGCTACCACATCCCCAGCCCACATGCCTTGGACTTTAGATATGGCTGTTACCTACAAAATCCACTAATGAATTTGATTTCCCCCCCCCCCAGTGCTAGGAATTGAACCCAGGAGCACTCTGCCACTGAGCCATCATCCCCAGGCCTTTTTTTTTTTTTTAACTTTTTTAATATTTATTTTTTAGTTTTCGGCGGACACAACATCTTTGTTTGTATGTGGTGCTGAGGATTGAACCCGGGTCGAATGCATGCCAGGCGAGCACGCTACCGTTTGAGCCACATCCCCAGCCCCATCCCCAGGCCTTTTTAAATAGCAAGGTAGCTAAATTGCTCAGATTGGCCTTGAACTTGTGATCCTCCTACCTCAACCTCCCAAGTAGCTGGTGAAAGTGGAGTGACTCCCCCAAGACAGAAATTCATCCAAGAGATCTTATTGGGGGGCTGCCTGAAGGGGAAGAAAGGAGAGGAGAAGAAGCTTGCGTGAGACTGCAAGCTTCAGCTTAAGAATGGTTGCTTTGAGGATGTGGCGGATGCTAATGGGCAGGGTGACTCAGGAACAGGCTAGTGGACACTGTGTCCTGAGAGGATTGGTCGAGAAAACTTTTGACTTTGGTGTCCTTTGGCTTTGTGCCCTTAGGCTTTGGAGAGGAGGGGGAGGGGTAATGGATTATGTGATGTTCTTCTCCAGAGATGGAAACTTAACTTCAGTGGGAGTTAAGTTTCGATGGTGGAAATAAAACCAAAAGGCAAGGTCTCCCACACACCCAACAGCTAGGATTACAAGAGTGTACCTCTGTGCCCAACTGAAATTTGATTTTTCTTTTTTAGTTGTCAATGGACCTTTATTATTTATTTATTTATATGTAGTGCTGAGAATTAAACCCAGTGCCTCACACATGCAAGCGCTCTACCACTGAGCTACAACTCCAGACCCTGAAATTTGATTTTTTAAAAAAGACTAATATATATGTATATTATGTATGTGTATGTACACACACACACACACACACACACACACACAGTAAAGTTTATTTATTTATTTATTTATTTATTTATTTAGTGTTAGGGATTGAACCCATGGGTACTTTACTACTGAATCACATCCCTAGTCCTTTTTATTTTTTCAGTTTTTATTTTGAGACAGGGTCTTAGTATGTAGCTGATGATCTGATGTTCACTAAAGTTTACTTTGTATATGTAACCACACTGATCTTTCTGATGTTAAATCTGATCCTGCCAGTTTACATCTTAAAACACTTTGATTTGACAGTAAGTTTCCATCATTTTTAGGTGAAAACAAAAATCCTTTACATGGCCTACAAGTTCCTTCATTATCAGGCTCCTGCCTACCTTTCCAGTCTCATCTCACTAACCCCTAGCTTACTGTTAACCATACTGACGTTAGCATGTGTTGTTCTGCTTAAAGTGGTCAGGCTCACCACCTCAGTTCTTTCTCTGCTATCCTTTAGATCTCTGCTCAAATATCATTTCCTTAGAGGTGCATTCACTATTGTGAGTCTGAGTCAGGTAGTTTTTCCACAATACTACTAAAGTTCAAGTGGCCATGCTTTCTCTGTTAACACCTGTGGTCAGGTCTCTTTCACGTGTAGAAATCTGCTCCATACCTTCATGTTTCTAGAACCTCTCCCTATGAAATTGGAGACTTATTCACTTCCCATTACAACTATCCTGGTGAGAGGTGGATCCTCTAACAAAAATGTCCCAGCTCCAGCATGATTCCTCACTCCTGAATACTTTAGAATGTATCTCTGAAGAACAAGGACCTTTTCTCACACAACCATAATGCAATGATTAAATGCAGATCATTTAACAATCATTTGATATCATTTACTATAAGAATAACAATTGAGGGGCTGGGGATGTGGCTCAGGTGGTAGCGTGCTCACCTGGCATGCATGGGGCGCTGAGTTCGATCCTTAGCACCACATAAAAGTAAAATAAAGTTGTTGTGTTCACTGAAAACTAAAAAATAAATATTAAAAAATTCTCTCTCTCAAAAAAAGAATAACAATTGATATGTTAAAACTCAACTATATAAAATGTAATTATAAGTTGGTTATAAGTTTATGTTCAAATTTCACTCATTGTTCCAATCATCTCCTTTCTAGCAGTTTTTTTCCTAAGTCCTAGAGCAAATCCAAGATCCTTTGTTGCATTTAGTTGTTGTGTCTGACTCTGATCTGAAATATTTCCTTAGCCTTTTTGTTTCTTTTCTTGGCATTGGCAGTCTTAAAGATCTCACATCATTTGTTTTATAGAATGTTCAAGTGAGGTGTGTTCCTTAAGTAACTGATCAGTTAATACCACAAAGAAAGCACTTTTTTTTTTTTTTGTACCAGGAATTAAACCCAGAGGTGCTTAACCACTGAGTTGTATTCCTAGCCCTTTTTATATTTTATTTAGAGACAGGGTCTCACTAAGTTGCTTAGGGCCTTAATAAGTTGCTGAGGCTGGCTTTGCACTTGTGATCTTCCGGCCTCAGCCTCCTGGGCTTCTGGGATTACAGGTGTGCGCCATTACACCTGGCTTAAGAGAGCACATATTGACACCAGTGTCCTCTGGTGTGGTACGGTGGGTGATACAAACATTGCTTACATTAACTTGCTACCCAAATTGCATAACCTGAATAGACTCTTGAAGAAACTACCAGACTTTCTTCACTTTCAGAATAAAGTCCCCATTGGGTCACAGGTGATCAAGAGCTCTCATGACCTTTGTTTCTCATCACATCTGCTGTATGGCAGACATTGTGGCTATCCACACACCATCTTTCCCCCTTGGCTTCCCTACTTTTGTATAGGTGGCTCTTGGGGAAGCTGAGCCCTCCCCAGCTCAGGGAGTGAGCCACAGTTAGTCCATGTCTCATGTGGCAGCACTATTCTACTTGCTGCTCATTGGTGTTGGGATGGATATGTGACCCATTTCTGTCGGTCAAGACTCAATAATAAGTTTTGTGGGGAGCTTTTGGGGAAAAGTATGCTCCTTGATTAAAAAAAAAAAAAAAAAGGATGTCTACATCGTTTTACTACATTGAAGATGGTTGTAGGAAGACATGATTAATGCTATGGCAACTGTCTTCCACAAGGCCAAAGACAAAAGGAGCCCGGGAAGGTAGAGACCTGGGTCTTCCACACTGTACTAATTCTGAAACCATCTATTACTGCAGGGGGTGGTGTGGGGTGCAGGATTGTTAGATGTCACTGTTTGAGACAACTGTCACCTGCAGCCAAGCACACTTGTCTGATGCATCCTGCCTATTTCCTCCCTTACTCCCACTTTCCATTCCTATGTGCTCTCTCTCCCCTCTGAGCCTAACTCCTATTTATTCTTAGGCTTCAGAAAAGACATAACTTCCTCCAGACACCTTCATTTACCTTCCAGGACTGGACTGGGTGCCTCTCCTGTAGTATTCTCCACCTACCCCCACAGTAGCCTTTATAGTCACCACCAAAACAATTCTCTCCTTGGATTAATTGTTTTATTGTGCCTGTGTTTAGCAGTTGGGTTTTTTTTTTTTTTTTGGGGGGGGGGGGGGGAGGGTACCAGGGATTGAATTCAGGGGCACTCAACCACTCGCTTTTGCTGAGGCTGGCTTTGAACTCGAAATCCTCCTGCCTCAGCCTCCCAAACCACTGGGATTACAGGCATGTGCCACCATGCCCAGCTAGAAGTTGGTTTTAAATCTTCTGTATAGGAAAGGTTTATAGAACTATTGATGTAATAGTTCTATAGAACACATTTTTTTTTAATAAGCCTAATTCAGGAAACAGGAAGAAGTGGAAAGAATAGTTCCTTATAATAGCCAACATCATCCCATCCAGCCTTTGATTCAACCCTAACTCAAGGTTGACCTTTTTATAATAAATCTCCAGACTTGATTCCTGGTAGCTTGAGGGTGGGAGGATTGGTATGATGATTTCTTTCTTGGATCCTGGAAACATCCATGGGTTTTGCTCCTTGAAAAAGACTCAGAATCTTTTGATTTCCCTACAAGGACTCCCCATCCCCATTCTCAAAAAAAAAAAAAAAAAAGCAGCAGAAGAAGAAAAAGACAATTGATGATGTAAATAGCAGCCTTGAAACCTAATTCAACATATTTAACAAAGCCATTTAAGTAATCTTTGGTCCATTTTCTCTGCAGAACATGGTTTCAGTGCCCTGGTTTTGATGATTGTGAATACCAATTAACTTTATTATTTTTCAAGGTCACACATTATATCTTTATATCAAACTATTCTGAAAATAAACATCCTTAAAAAAGAAAATAAATAACATCCCAGCTCATTTCCTGTCCTGGCCTCCCACCTTATTCAGCCATACTACCTTACTGTTTAAGGTGGTCAAACATTTCATTGCCAATCTATCATTTGATCTGGGATTACAATCTATGTTTATGAAGGCTCTTATCAGACTTCTCTAATTCTTATTTACTAATCACCATCCAAAGAATACCAATGAGGTTCCAGAAGAATATCTCCAATGCTGTATCTCTAACAGATAACCTAAATTCACGATAACAGTTCCCCACCTTTTTTTTTTGGGGGGGGGTGGCAGGGGAAGTGGGGACTGATGATTGAACTCAGGGGCACTTTAGCACTGAGCTACATCCCTATCCGTTTTAAGGTTTTATTTTGAGACAGGGTCTTGTTAAAATGCTTAGGGTCTAATTTGTGATCCTTCTGCCTCAGTCTCCCAGATTGCTGGGATTACAGGCGTGCACCACTATACCTGACTTCTATCCACCTGAAATGCCTGTAAATTATTTTCCATACAAAATAAAATCAGAAATCATAGAAAAATTCAAAATGCAAATCTATAACTTTCTATGTTCTATTGATAGTCTAAAGTGATCAAATATTTTAATTGATTGAACATGCTATTAAAAAGCCATGTGATGGTATAACTTGGTCACAGACAATAAGGTGAACATTTGTTAATTCTAAAGCTTGTAAATGCCACAAAATAGCTACATTTAACTATATAGGAAATTAAAATAACACCAATACTGCCCTATTTAGAGTCACCATACTCTTCTATTGCTTTGATTTTTTTTCTTCTTTCTATATTTTTAATTAAAAAGTGTATTGACATAAGAAAAAGGCTGAGGATGCTGTGGCAGGAGGATTTCAAGTTCAAAGCCAGGGTCAGCAACTTCATGAGGTCCTAAGCAACTTTAGACCCTGTCTCTAAATAAAACATTTTTAAAAGGCCTGGGGATGTGTCTCAGAGGTTAAGTGACCCTGGATTCAATCCCTGGTACCCCCCCCCCAAAAAAAAATGGTGGTAAAAGTAAATGGCTGATTTCTATCCTAATCACTGCAATCTCTGAATGCTACTTTTTTGGGAAAAGTGTCAGCTTTATCTCTAATAACAACTGTATCCATATATTTAGAAAACTAAAAGGGAAAGAGCATACGGTAATCTAAATAGACACAGGAAAAGCATTTGGCAAATTTCAAAATCATTCTTTTTTTTTCTTTGTTAAAATATTTTGTTTAGTTGTTAATGGACCTTTATTTCATTTATTTGCTTATATGTGATTCTGAGAATTGAACCCAGGGCCTCACACATTCTAGGCAAGTACTTTACCACTGAGCCACAACCCCAGCCCACTCAACACCATTCTTTTTTTTTTCTCTTTTTTTTTATTGGTTGTTCAAAACATTACAAAGCTCTTGACATATCATATTTCATACATTAGATTCAAGTGGGTTATGAACTCCCATTTTAACCCCAAATACAGATTGCCAAATCACATCGGAACACCATTCTTAATTAAAAAATAAAAAAAAGTGGGGCGGGGTGGTGGGAGGGAACTAAACAAATTAATCACAGGAGGGAACTTCTACAGCAGTGATAAACAGCACCTACAGAAAGCCTGTTGCTGGGCTGAGGGTATAGCTCAGTGGTAGAGCACCTGTCTGTCACGTCTGAGGCACTAAATTTCTTTACCTAGCACTGAGGGAAAGAAAAAAAAAAGCAGCCTACTGCATCATACTTAATAAAGAAGAAATGGAAGGTTGGGGTTGTGGCTCAGTGGTAGAGTGCTCGCTTCGTACGTGAGAGACCCTGGGTTCGATCCTCAGCACCACATAAAAATAAATAAACAAAATAAAGATATATTTAAAAAAAAAAAAGAACAAATGGGGGCTGGGGTGTAGCTCAGTGGTACAGTGCTTGGCTAGCACTGTACTTGTGAGGCACTGTGTTCAATCCTCAGCACCACATAAAAATAAATAAAACAAAGATATTATGTACATCTACAACTAAAAAAATTTAAAAAAAAGAGAGAACAAAATGGCTGGGGTTGTGGCTCAGTGGTGGAGCTATTGCCTAGCATGTGTGAGGCACTGGGTTCAATCCTCAGCACCACATAAATAATAAACAAATAAAATAAATCTATAAGTAAAAATATATTAAAAAAAAGAAAAAGTGACTATTTTCTCAAGGTCGATAAAAAGATTTCTATTTATGTTGTCCTGGAAGTTCTGCTCAGGGCAATCAAATAAGGAAAAGAAATAAAACATATCCAAATTGGGAATAAAAAAAAATAGAAGCAAAAATGAATTTATTTGTAGGCAACATAATAATCTATCTAGAAAATCTGATTCTACAAAAAAAATACTAAAATTGTTTAGGTGAGATTAGCAAGGTTGCAAGGTATGAGATAAAAGTCAATTGCATTTTTGTATACTAGTAATGGACAATCAAATTAAATCTTTAAAAACATTTCTCTAAAACCAAAAATATGAACTGCACAGGGATAAGTTTGAAAAAATATGTGAAAAACACTTGAGTACAAAACACTGATGAGAGAAAACAAAGATTTAAATAGAGAGGCATATAGATTTTTTGTGGATCTGAAGACTCAATATTGTTAAGATTCTCCCCAAGTAAATCTACAGATTCAGTGCAGATCTAATCAGAATACCAGAAGGTTGGTTGGTTTGCTTGTTTAGAAGTTGACAAGCTGATTCTAAATTCACGTGCTAATTCAAAAGACATAGAAGAGGCAAAAGAACTCTGATCAAGAAAAACAAGGGGCTGGGGTTGTGGCTCAGCAGTAGAGCGCTTGCCTAGCATGTGTGAGGCCCTGGGGTCGATCCTCAGCACCACATAAAAATAAATTAATAATAAATTAAAAAAGGTATTGTGTCCTACTGCAACAATAACAACAACAGAACAAAATGGGTGGGCAAACTTGATTTTGAGACCTTTTTATAAAGGTACAATAATCAAAATGTTGTGTCTTAGAATAGAAAAAAATAATAGAAAAAGATCAACAAAACAAAACAAAACAAAAAATTCAATTGTTTCTTCTTTCAGTTTAGAAGAGAGAAATAAACATCTGGAAGATTTAATGAGAAGGCCCAGAGAGAGAGCCAGAAAACCGAGGTAAGTTTTCCATTCTTTAAAAATCAATAGTAATGTCTCGTCCCCACC